CGATTGAGTGGGTGGATTGTAATTTTTAAAGCTCCCCGAAAAACTAATAGAGAGTGCTAAACATAATTCTTTGGGAAAAGAATGTACGAATTTATTTTTTTCTCCATCTCTCTCCCTCTCTTTTTTTCAGAAGGAAAAACTACATCAATTTAGGCTATGCAACTAACACCAACTCTATTAGTAAGAAAAAATAAAATAAAATAAAATTCAGCCCTCTAAAACTTAGCATAGTGGTTCGTTGCCTGACTTTGATGTCACGATATAATGCGATAGTGTCGCAATGTACCTCTACAATAACTCTAGTGGTAAAGCCTTATGATGTAAAGATTAATCCGGCAAAATTAAAATCACCTAAGTATTCATAATAAGAGTGACCTAATAGATAGAACATGATTTTTTTAATCAAAAGATCATGCTCAATTTACCTTCTGTATCATACGATTTTACCATTTTACAGTTTTACCAGAGGATTTATATAGGCAAGAGTGCAACGGGACGGAAGCTTGTGCCTGTGTCATATTAATTGATTATTCTATACACTCATATTAAGTTAGTACCCGAACGGAAAAATTATCAGAGGCAGTCAGGTAGGTACCGAAATTTAATTAAATAATAAATAAAAATAAAGGAGCGTCGTTTTACCTTTTCTCTTTAAGTATGAGTGGAACCTTGACCCACTTCACCAACTCACTTTCGCCATTTTTTTTCTCTGTAAATTCCTCTCATACTCCACAGGAAATTGAAACGTTTTTCCTTCTTTCGTATACTCTTTGGTGGATTTTGAAATCGTAATGGCGGCAGCGGAGCAGATTCGCAGCAGAAAGCTGATTGTGGAGATATGCAATGCGAAGAATTTGATGCCTAAGGATGGGCAGGGCACCGCCAGTGCGTACGTTCTGGTGGATTTCGACGGCCAGCGGCGGCGGACGGCGACCAAGTTCCGGGATCTGAACCCGCAGTGGGACGAGCGGCTGGAGTTCTTGGTCCATGATTCGGAGACGATGGTTTCCGAGACTCTTGAGCTTAATCTGTATAATGACAAGAAGACTACGGGAAAGAGAACGACCTTTCTCGGGAGGGTTAAGATCGCCGGGAGTAGTTTTGTGCAGGCGGGATCGGAGGCGCTGGTTTACTATCCTTTAGAGAAGCGCAGCGTTTTCTCGCAGATTAAGGGCGAGATCGGGGTTAGAGTTTGGTACGTAGACGAGGAAGCGCCGCCGCCGCCTCCTGAGGAGAAGACGGAGGCGCCTGCGGAGGAGAAGCCGCCGGAAAAGGTGGAAGAGGGGAGTCCACCAGCCGCGGACGGGGATAAGAAAGAACAGGAGAAGCCGGAAGATCAGGAAAAGAAGCCGGAAAATCAGGAATCGGAGAAGAAGGAAGATAAGCCGCCTGAGGATCAGAAAAAGGACGAGGAAGCTACTCCTCCTCCTCCTCCACAGCCACCGGCTGCTCAAACCTCCGCTCCGACACCGGCGGAGCATCCGCCAGTAGCGCCGCAAAAACCGCTGATGAAAAAACCGCCACCGGAAAAGAGCAGCGAGCTGAAAGTCGTCCATAGCCTCTCCGGCCGGGCCATTGACCGGCGGAACAGCGCTTTTGATCTAGTGGATCAAATGCCGTTTCTATTCGTACGCGTCGTGAAGGTGAAACGAGTCAACCCGGAAGCCGATTCATCCGCCTATGCAAAACTCGTCATCGGAACTCACAGCATCAGAACCAAATCATCACCGGCCGCCGATCAAAACAAAGAATGGGATCAAGTTTTCGCCTTCGATAAAGACGGTTTGAATTCCACATCTCTGGAAGTCTCCGTTTGGGTTGAGAAGAAAGGGGCCGAAGATAAGACCGAGGAGAATTCCATCGGAACGGTGTCGTTTGATCTACTGGAAGTCCCCAAGAGGGTGCCGCCGGACAGTCCATTGGCTCCCCAATGGTACAGCTTAGAATGCGATCAGAACCAGAGCTCCCCGGGAAATGACGTCATGCTGTCGGTTTGGATCGGGACTCAGGCGGATGAAGCCTTCAACGAGGCTTGGCAGTCGGATTCCGGTGGCTTTGTGCCGGAAACCCGAGCCAAGGTCTACTTGTCTCCGAAGCTTTGGTATCTGAGGCTAACGGTCATCCAAACCCAAGACTTGAAACATGGTTCGGGCGGCGCCGAAGCTAAGGTTCGGAATCCGGAGCTATACGTAAAAGGTCAACTCGGCGCACAGCTGTTTAAGACAAGCCGGACCACAGTCAGCTCTTCCAGCTCAGCATCAAATCCCACGTGGAACGAGGATTTAATCTTCGTGGCATCCGAGCCATTTGAGCCGTTCCTGACAATCACGGTGGAGGACGTGTCTAACGGACATCCTGTGGGCCACGCTCAAATACAAGTGTCATCCATCGATAGGCTCATCGACGACAAGTCAGAGCCAAGATCCAGGTGGTTCAATTTAGTCAGCAGCGACAACACCTCATACGCCGGGCGAATCCACGTGAGAGTAAGCCTAGAGGGCGGGTATCACGTATTGGATGAGGCAGCGCACGTGACTAGCGACGTCAGAGCCACCGCAAAGCAACTATCAAAACCTCCCGTCGGGCTCCTCGAGCTGGGAATCCGAGGAGCGGCTAATCTTTTACCGGTGAAAACTAAAGACGGTACACGTGGGACCACCGATGCCTACGTGGTCGCAAAATACGGTCCCAAGTGGGTCCGCACGCGCACAATCATCGACCGGTTTAATCCACGTTGGAACGAGCAGTACACGTGGGACGTCTACGACCCCTGCACCGTACTAACCATAGGAGTGTTTGATAACGGGAGGTACAACAGCTCAAAGCAAGAATCCAACGAAGCCATTGGATTGAAAGATCTTCGGCTGGGGAAGCTACGTGTACGGCTGTCGACGCTGGACACGAATAAGGTGTACGTGGGTACATATTCCCTTATGGTGTTGCTGCCGAGTGGGGCGAAGAAGATGGGAGAGATTGAGATAGCGTTGCGGTTCACGTGTTCGTCGTGGTTGAGTGTGATTCAGGCGTACGGTAGCCCGGTGTTGCCTAGGATGCATTACGTGCGCCCGTTTGGACCGGCGCAACAGGATATTCTCCGGCACACGGCGATGAGGATCGTGACGGCGAGGATGGCGAGATCCGAACCGGCTTTAGGTCACGAAGTGGTTCAATACATGTTGGATTCGGATACGCATATCTGGAGCGTGCGGCGGAGCAAGGCGAATTGGTTTAGGGTCGTCGGATGTTTGTCGAGAGTGGCGTTACTGGCGCGGTGGCTCGACGGGATTCGGACGTGGACGCATCCGTCGACGACGGTTCTGGTCCACTTTCTCCTCGCCGCGGTGGTGCTATGTCCGCATCTGATCTTGCCGACGATCTGCATGTACGCGTTCCTGATAATTTCCTTGAGGTTCCGGTACCGGCAGCGCGTGGCGATCGCGATGGACGCGCGGGTGTCGTATGTGGACGCGGTGGGGCCGGACGAGTTGGATGAGGAATTCGACGGTTTTCCGACGACGCGATCGGCGGAGCAGATCCGGATCCGGTACGATCGTCTGAGGGCGTTGGCGGGGCGGGCGCAGACGCTGCTGGGTGACGTGGCGGCGCAGGGGGAGAGATTGGAAGCGCTGTTCAATTGGAGGGATCCGAGGGCGACCGGGATATTCGTGGTGGTGTGTTTGATGGCTTCGCTCATGTTCTACATGGTGCCGTTCAAGGCGTTTGTGTTGGGGGCGGGGCTGTATTACCTCCGACACCCAAGGTTTCGCGGTGACATGCCGTCCATTCCCGTCAACTTTTTCAAGAGACTCCCGCCGCTCTCCGATCAAATTCTTTAGATTTCAGCAATTAGTGTTCTGGAGATTTCGTTCAATCTGGGGAAATTCCTTAGAATTTTTGCTCAGCTAAGGAAACTGTGATGAATCGGCTATGCAAGTAGACTAGTGGTAGTAAGCTCAGTGATCTGAGGCTTTCATTCTGTAAACGTGGCAAATTTAATTGGTATTAATATTATTTCATTGATTTTTTTTTTAATACTACTGATTTTATTACAAATTACAATGCAGTATCTGTTTATAACTACTTTCTCAACCTATTGAAGCACAAAAAGTCAATATTGCCTCCATTAAGGGAGCAACTTGTAACTCCTAATTAATTGAATGTAAAACTATTAACCAACTCAAAATTCTTTATTCAATGGTGAAAGGAAGGGAGGAGTTAGATCCTTTTATAATTTATAAACACCAGTGCAGTAAGCTTTTAATTCTAACTCAGTATGAACTAAATTGATTCATGGGTGATAGAGACACTAAGACAGTGAACAAAGACACAAGATTGAACTTTGACAGTTCATACTGAGTTAGGAGTACAAAGACACAAGAAACGTGGATCAAACCTTAGTTACTACAATGTAAAAATTTCACTGTAGTTACTTAAACTGTATATGGTAGACTCTTTGTCGACACTAAATACAAATTCTCTTACCTAACGAGTCACTAAATCATACTAATTTACAAATTGACTATTTTATCAAGTTGAAGTTTGAAGATTCTAATAATCTAATAGCAGCCACAATAGTAGGATGTGAGAGCCTCGGCAAAGAATGACTATTGGTCTCTGAAATGGATCCCACCAAAATTGAAAAGCAGGCGTGCAATTGTTCTCTCCTAATTAGGACCTCAAAAACCACAAGAAAACCATTGCTATTAAGGCTTGCACTGAACACGAGCGAATATTTTGTTTTTGTGGGCAAGAAAAGTAATGGTGGGCTGGGCGGCAAAGTGACCGTTTCATGTCTGGGTGGCATTTTCCTTAATGGTGTGGTTGGTGGTGGGACATAGAGAACTATAAATAGATGTAATAAATTACTGCCACAAGCCCACAAGACATTCAGAATTTCATCATATATTACAAGAGGAGTCAGAGACCGTTAAATGAGTCAGACCGGTGGACCGCCGGGATGATTAAAAGGCAAATCCAGCTACTGTGTCCCTGTCCCTGTCTTTTAGTTGAGTAATAAAGAGTGTATTCAAACTTCAAATAGAAAGTCGAGTTTAATCGTGTAAGGAGGCAGCTACCACTCAAAAGAAAATGTTTCATTGATTACAACAAAAAAATTTGTATCCATACCATGTTCAATTGTATCATGAACTCATGGCACAAAAAAGTCCTGTGTTGAGAGATTTATGTAATCAGGGAATCATTGATGACCTCGGCCGCCACAGTCTGAGCACATTATGTTCCCAGTTCCCCCGCAACCTGCATTACATGAATAGTGGGGAATCAAAATCTCGTATCGTATTTCTGATTCTGAGTAAAGAGAGGGTACTGTCTATTTCTCAACGGGAGAGCGGTGACAAGAAATGATTTCTTGAACTTTCTGTGAATCTCAAGTGTAGAAAAGTTGGAGGGAAAATGACAAGAAGCAATTTACCTAAGCATCGAACTTTGACAATAATCCCTTGAGATTCCATAATAGAGTCAACATATAGGCCTGAACCAGAGCATGTCTTGCACAACACAGCACCTTTTGCTTCACAACCAGCACAAGGGGGGCTATTTCCAATATTCTTTGTAGTCATAGACAATCCAATAGGTTTCTCTATTATTTCTTCAGGTATGGGCTTGTCATAGCAAAAAAGAGATTCAAGACTGCTTCTTCGCTTATTCATGTCACCTACTTCATTTGAAACTGCCTGCATACATCAAATGCAGTCTATAAACCTGCTGCTTCATATTTGATTACAGCAACACAAAGCCTAGACATGTTTAGCAGTTTTATCATTTATGTCCTTTTACCTATAATTTCATTTACCTAGAGGTTTTCTCAGAAATTCCATAGTTGCTGCAGAGTCAAGTAGAATTGTAATTATGTTTTAGTTAGAACTTAGAAGCAGTAAAATGTTGGTTTTCAATTGCTCTTAGATTCATCATTCATTTAAGCCCTTCTAATCCAAGATGCTCTTTATTTGCTGGAGTGCAACTAATAAACCATAGAGGCAGCCTGAATGTTGCAAACTTGGATTTATGGTGAAAGGTGCCACTTTTGGATTGTAGCATCCATCCCGAAAGATGTGATCAGTGATCTCAAGGGTGGATAATAAATTTCATCTTTGTTCAAGGTATTTTTATCATTTTACAAACAGCTAATCTAGTTAGGCTTAAGGGTGCTCACTTGTCAGCATATTCAGTTGTTCTAGAAATTTTTATTGGCGTTGATATATGTAGTTGAACCTGTTTGCTGAATTTATCCACTTTGCATCCAATGAAAGAACATTACTAATGGAACTTCATTCTTCCTTTATTTCAGAACTTTAGCCATCAATTACAACCTTCATATAAAGCTTAAATCATCCCTAGTTCTTTAAGTTTATGTCTAAACTCTTCCTTGATCATCTTACTGTTCGAGCATCAAATGCTCTTAATCCAATAGTGTTCTACCCTGTAAAATTGAGCTCTAAATGCAATAATGTATCTCCACACTCATTGAACTTTTAACTACTACATCTGATCTCTATACGCAATTAGATATACTCATACAAGTTATAAACTGCTCAGATGCCATTCTCTTTCCCGCAAATTCACTCCACGACATTCTCACAAATGGATTGGAAGGAAAATGGATGGTACACACAGTACACGAACAACTCATAATCAAGTGAGTTATATACTTATATCTGTTTACTCAAGGAATTGGCACTCTCTTCATTCTTCAATATTTAAAATAGCATCAGAACGACCTAGTTTGAATAGTGACAACTCCTTCAGAAATGAGATTCAATAAAAAAAAAATGCATACCCAACAAAATAATGTTCAAAGGATGGCATCATCCATTCACATTTGGAAAATACAGATCAGAAGAAAAACCCTTTTGAGCTTTTGGCAAGAAGCTTAGATTAAATATGAAATTTTCTATAGTAACGCTCGACTTAATTGATTTCAATTTCAGTTAGTTCAAACAATAAGATACTGAGCTAACCTTCCAAGAAAACAGAAAACACTAAGATACTAGGATACCAATAACAAGCATGAAAACTCCATGGCTATCAAATCATTCATCCATCTTTGACATGATTTCTACAGTTAACATCATCAAGTCAGGATCTTTTAAAATAAGGAATGCAAGTAAGGATACACAGAGTTGAATCTATATAGTTCCTTATATACAGCAGAAATTGGAACAGAACTTTCAATTGAACTATAGCAAAACACATATGAATAACAAAACAAAAATTTGGTCAAATCCTTGTGATATAATAATGTTCATACCGCAATTCATTTAGAAAGATATGAGAGTGTTAACCATGATGTCCAATATCAATTTGGGAAAATTCTTTTGGAAGAATTTGGGAAAATGTTATTTGCATTCAATTCCATCATTCCCCATCATGAATTAATGCAATGAAGCTATTAGCCTATGTAAGAATCCACAACTACTTATGTGCTTTTAGCAGTATCCGTCAATTTGATACCTACGCCTCTTCATACAAAGAAACATAGTTTTACAGCGAATGCATAGATTAAGATGCAACATTTTACACAGTCCTACACTTGCAACCGTCTAAAATAATAGCGCAGAAGATTGTTGACACCATGAACACGAAAAGGAAGCAGAAAGTACTGGAAAAATAAAAAACCCTAGTAAATTACTTACACGCAGCTGAGAAGGAGATCTCCGTGTAGCGATATCAGTAGACTGATTCGTGGAGAGGGGTTTGGGAGGAAAGAAGAGTGAGGTCGTGTTGTTTCCAATGAAGTTGTTGTTGTATGCGGGAGTGAATTTGGGGAAGACGGTTGAGGACGACGAGAACCTCAGCGCGGAGGCGTAATCCATTGCGATGGATTTCGAGGAGCGAAATTCAAATTTACGGAAAGAGGATTTGTGCGGTTAGACGAGGGAGATAGAGAGAGAAGAAGAAGATGAAGAAAGCAATGATTTTGTGCGTGTCTTCCTTGTTTCTATCGCCTCCTTACCAGACTTTGTTCCATTAATTTAATGGCCAAGTTTTGCTCCCATTCTCGTCTCCTCGGTGTATACGAAGAAGTTCCAATCCTTTTATGTTGTGAGGTTTGTATTGTTATGAAATTTTGTACTTAAAAAATATGAATTATGTTAAGGTTAAAAGAAGTCAAAATTTATAATTTATATTGTGTATTTCTTCATTTTTCTTCGCAAGTTTTAATAAACAATAAAATTTACGTTTTTGAGTCCTTAGAAACACGGTTTCACAACATAAAGAAGTTGAATCGAGTAGTCAAAGCTCTGGTAAGTTTCTATTAGTTTTTCCTTTCCCTTCTCGATAGTTTGAATAGAATTGCTTTTCACTTTGAAATGTATGGTTTTTGTTTAATGTGATTAGTTGATGCTTGTGAAATTTATTGCTTATGTTTGGTTGTTATTGAGTAGGCAATTTTTTTTTATATGTATTAATAAAAGTGCATATAGTTTGAACACTGAGTTGGGTACTACTTGTTTCGTTAAATGCGAATAAATTTGTTATTGTTTCTGTTTATGGGTTTAAGTTGTCTCTTAAATGATAGGCAAACCCGTACACTTTGAACATAAATTATGAAGTTTGCATATTGTATATGCCTGGGATCAGTTATGGATTTATAAATGTTGGGACCACATGTGAATTTATATATTGTCCATACATTGTTTATTTTATTGTAATCTGTACCAGGTAGATTTGTGTTTTTCTTTAGAATCACTTGTGATACTTGTGATTTATTTTTTAATAGGTGTTATTCTTACTATTGATACTTTTACTCTTAACCTAAGGCATGGGAGAAGGATAAAGCAAAGTATTCCCCATGTTTATATTGGTGGATTTAGAAGTTCAGTTAACGATATGAACTATGATGAATGTGATTAATTTCTTTAAAGAATAATGTACATGAACTATGGTATAATATGGTAGAAACTTTAAGGTTCTTTGTGGTGACTGAAAAATGTTTGAATGAGATTGCATAGTGATTTAAATGTTTGGAGTTTAGTTAATAATGTTAGGCCTAAAAAACATTGAAACATGTGTTATAAAAGGTGAACATGATACTATCAACAAGGTTGGGTGAAGATGATCATGCCATAATGAAAGAAAATGATACAAATAAAGAGTATGTGCAATCTTGAATGAGGAGTCTATGTATTTAGTTGATGATTTAGAATTTGAGAAGTACATAGATGTTGATTTATAGTACGAAGGTGTTGATTTAAATGAAAAACTTGCCACTAAACACACGCAATATTCTTCCACGATTTTAGTTTGTTCATGAAGTTTGAATCTTCAATCTTTGGTCACAATGACAAAAGATTGGTCACAATGACAAAAGATTTGAACTCACTTCACAATGACACCCTTGGCAATTTGATGATGAAGAGTTACTCATCAATGAGCAAATAGGATTCACAACTACAACTCTTAAAAAAATATAACGAATTCACAAAAAGCCTTTGATAGAGATCTACAAATTTAGCGCGGGAAAATATACATAGACACCAACAGATTGAAAGGACGCCTTTACCCCTAGCTTCGAATAGTTAGGGGACAACTAAATCAAACAAAAATTTAAACAGAAAACCCCTACAAGTAAATCACAATAGTCAAGGGACCCCAATTGGATATTAACTCATACACAATACTAATATGAATCTAAGATTTTTTTTCTTTTGGGGACAAAAAAGGCCTCTGTGCATCCCTAAAACTAGACCTATCTTCCAACATGCTACAAAGATAATTACAAGTTCTACTTGGCTAACATAAGCTAGATCTGCCTCGGTTTATATCAGTCGCCACGCATCAGACTCGTGCTACCTGTTCCGCTGCCACTTGAACAAGCCGATCCGGCTGCAACTCTCTGCAGCGCTCTCGTCCGTGGAGTCCGACCCGCTCTCGACTGTTTCATCCGAACTCTCTTCCGGGAGCATCTGCACTCTGTTGGCATTTTGTATGATCCAATCACTGAATTCAGATGAAGCTGCTAGCTCCGCGATCGCCTGCTTAGTGGAGTCTTGAGTGAACTCCTCCCACTCTCTTTCCGAGAATTTCTTCCTGTTAGGCGTCTTGTGGAAGGTCGAGTAATACTCCTCCGGCTCATTTTTTCTCCCCCACATATTAGACTGGACTGCTCGACCTGAAAGGATTACAGAATGAAGTAACATTGTTAAATTAGAAAGAAACTATGTTTAGTGTGCAAGCTGTAGAGAAGGGATACACAACCAATTGAAATTATCAAAGCAACAGTTCCAAAGGAAAGATTTCACTCAGGATAATTTATGCATCCATTATAACAATGGCATTAAGGATAATACCTTTAACAGGATCAGACCAAGGAGACGAACTTTTTGGCCTGTTAGACATGCGTCCATAGGACCCTGGTCCCTGTGACTTCCTAAAGAACTCAGCACGCTTTGGTGTCATATTCATTTGCCTATTCATCCCCGTACTAGAAGACCTATTTCGTGAATAAGATGAACCCCTGCAAGCGAGAAGAATCAGATAATCAGCTAACCCTAAAGTTAATAACATGAGAAAGAACATAGTACAATGGATCGATAGAAAACACTACTGGAAATTATAAAATTTCCGACCACCTGAAAGTGATCTTAAATCAAGTTGAAAGCCTTGTTCCAACCACTTTTGGTATTCAGAAAAACCTTTGTTGCTATTTCCGACCACTTTTTGCTTTCGACTTGATTTAAGATTACTTTCAGGTGGTCAGAAATTCCATAATTTCCAGTGGTGAAAAAATTACCTTGCTCTACGTCCCATCATGGAAGTGATAGAAGAGCAAATCAAGAACCAGAAACCAAGAACAGCCATAGCAAGAGGAATATCCCATGTGCTCTGATATAAAGAAAGATGGAGGAGAGTTAGTACTCTATAACAATAGAAAATGCAACACAGGAACATGGATGCCATACATAGAGATATCTAGATGAGAAGAAAGCATGCTGAGGATTCCAAGGGCATCATACGAGATACAGTTACAGCAAGTAAGGTCTCTAACAAACTGAGATATCTAACATTTTAAAATTGAGAAGCTGGAATACTGGATGCTTTTGTATTTCTAGCTTCACAGTTTTCCTTGAAATATGTCCACTGCTCCTACTTCATTAGATGGTAATAAAATCCTAGGACTATATAGGCTAGGCACCATAAGATAATAGTAATATCTATTTGCCAATAAAATAAACAAATTATTTGTCTGACAACATATACATGAACAAATTAACAACAAAAGATTTCTTAATACCTGAAAGATGAAAGTGATGCCAACGACACGAATAGCCCATTTTACAAATTGAGCCACCCCAGCATCCACACCTCCATTATCTGAAACAACATACTTCCTCACAAGCCAATATCCCAAACCAGCTCCGGCAAGGATAATTCCAACGAGAAGGAATACAGAAACCTGCAAGGTTCTCATGTTATTAAGAATTAAGTGAAATAAGTAGATAACATCATCGAATAAATTAAATGTAACCTTAATCTTGCATGTAAAGCACTTACAGGGTTATGTAACTCTTCATCAAGCCCAAAATTTAAAAGAACAGAATTAACCATCATTGAGAAATGATGTAGCAAAAATGATCCAGCTCCAAGCTGCATTACAATGCAGATAAAATATATTGTTAGTAACGGGTGATCACTTGAATTATGAAATCTGGAAATCCATAAAACAAATATTCTGGAGTAAAGATGGACTAACCACTGATCCATATATAGTTAGATAGAACACATTCTTCCTGCCAGTTGGCAGTAATTTCATTCCCTAAACATTGAAGCAATAGTGATAATGAGCCACATTACCAAGATCATTAAAAGCTAATAAAAGAGAAGATATAAGAATACATGATAGATGCACCGAATAATCTATTTATATGACATTTGTAAACAGTCGAGAAAAACAAACTAAGATGGTGAAAGCCTAAGGAGAATGATCCAAACCAAATACGAGTGGAAACAGAAAATAATAGTACCTGAAAAAGAAGAATTATAATAACAAGACAAACTCCAATCATCATTGAACTGCTATAATAGAAGGGAACCCAACGGCTGACAGTTGGAGCCAATAGCAATAGAATCAAGCCCAGAGCAAGACAAAGCAGACACCACTTTTGTGAATCTGTAAAAAAACTAAAAATAATAAGTCATAACCAAGGAGAAACATCTCATGAACAAAGACATCAGGATGGCAACATCTTACCCTCTTCAACTGTAACAGTGACGGAACCAGAAAAATCGCCAAAGTATTTTACATCAATGTATCTGTTCTCGTATGGTGATATAACAGAGTTCCACGCCCCTTTTTGTAAGATTTTCCAGTCATCTTTATCACACTGACACGAACCAAGAGAAGAATTCCTGAAGAATACTTTATAATTAAAACCAAATCCTAAAATAATAATAATAATCATTTTTAAAATCAAATGTTGAATATATGACAAACATTGAACTTACTTGTGAGAGCAAATATGAATTTTTCCATGTAACCTCTCAGGAATAGCTGCAGATGGAAGCAATGTGACACGATATGCACTAGAATAGCTCCACAGTTTCAATCTTGATAAACCAGCAACTAAAACACGTTCACATGATATAATATCTCTAGATGATGAAAATCCAGCAAGGGGAACTGGAGTAAAATCCACAACTGGATTCTTCACATTGACCTCTGTAACAAAAAAAAAAAAAAAAAAGGAGGGGCTTAGATGAGATCTATAATACATAAACTTCATAATATCATACAAGATTTGTAAATTGTAATTTTAGACAATCCATTGATAACACTTAAATCATTTCTACTGCACTGTTATGGATATCAGTATGTCACTATGAAAGAATGCCAGCAAGAAAAAGTTAACCTAAGTATATGACCCAATACAATATGGGGTGTGTAAACAGTACTTCAAACTTTAAAATTAGAACTCTTTGCCTTCTTTACAAGTTACAATGCTATTAACAGGGAGAGATCAGGAGATGTTAACATTTGCAATCTGTCCATGTCAAGCAACATTTTTGTATTGTTTTTGACTTCTTTCCTTGTTCCCACTTCACTTGACAACAAAAGTTATAGGTAGATTAATTCTATTCCTAACTTTTACAAATTTCCAAATCAAACAGCTTCATCAATTCGAAACTAGTCAGATATGTCTGCATTACTCTCTTCTATTTTCCTTTTTGTAGAAAAGAAGTTTATATGCACAATAATACAACACATAATAAGAACTTCAATGTTATGCCACTAGGAAAAAAAATCAAAAAACAAAACAAAACCAACTACAACTACTGCTACAAAAAGAGCTTTTTCTCTCTAGGATTTATTAAACCACTAAAACTACTTCAAAATCTGTGAAATTTCAGTGATACTTGCAAAATCACTCAAGTATCTGTTTATCAGAGCATTTATAATTTTCACAAGTACACAACTTAACCAAAAAGAGACCAATCACGCCAAAACACAAATTTGTAATGACCTAACTTACATGCTAAGAAATCAGATCCGTTCAAAGACAATGTCACGAAAAAAACACAAATTGGATAGGTAAAGCGCAGATTGGAGCTCACCTTTCAGTGCAGACAGTTGAGGAGGGGCAGAAAGCAGCAACAAGCACAGCGGAAGAAGCAACAGACTGGTTACGACATTGGTACTCGCGCATTCGGACGAGAAAGGAGAAGCCCCCATCGGAAAACTAACCGTCCACCCAATCGATCGGCCGACCGGACTAGGTCTCCGGCGAAGAGGATTTCGGAACAGTGACGGAGAAAGGGCGCGCTTCCTTCTCTCTTAGCAGGATTTGATTTTCGTTTTCGATTATATATTCCTTTGCTCTGCATTCGATATTTTGATATATATATAGATGCGTTAAATGCATAAATCCGAGGCGGCAAAAGCAAACATAATCACATATACGCGTACTAATTGCGTAGAAGCTCCGCGCCTATCAATCCAAAATTTTGTTTAAGTTATTGCGTTTTTCAATTTTAAAATCAATCAAAAAATAATTTTTCAACTATTATTTTTGTCTCAAGTTAATATCAAATTTAGTCTATGATTTTAATGACATTTTAAAAATTAATCATTGATAAATAATTTTGTAATAAATTTCTATTTTGATAGTGTAATTTAAAGGCGCTATCATAAAAATAAATGATTGGCATTAGTTCTCATTCTTAGAGAGTAAGATAACACGATTTAAAGATAAAATATGGTTAATTTTAATTCTAATATAATGGGTATACATGATTAGTTATTGCTTTGTACAAGAGCAATATGTAATTTTATAAGAAAATAATGATTTATTAATTATTATGTAATTTTGTAAGGAAATGATGGTTTATTAATTATTATCTACACCAATAATAATAATTCGAATACTGATACGAGATTGCTCTTCAGGTGTACGTGACTTTTTTTTCGAGTTACCATATATCTATATAGAAAAAATATATATCTTCTATGTAAATAATTTCTATAATCGAGTTGCTAGACAACAAGCTAATTAGCCAATTAATATAAATCTTAAATATAAAATCTCTAAAGTTTCAGCACCGGAAGCGTATATCTACACCTTAACTATTAATTGGATAATTATTTATTCGAATGCAAGCAGTAATAACATCATAAAACATAATTGATCCAACTCAATTTTCTAATTAAATTATATAATATTCGATGTTATAACAAACTCATTTCGTGCAACGCATGGGTAAAAATACTAGTAATATTATAAAATAAAACAATATTGATTAAGGGTGAATATTCGCAAGGCAAAGTACAGTGAATATTAATTGCGCAAAAATTAATGTTGGTAGTTTGAAGATGGAGTAAATACGGTAACTTCGAAATCATTCCGTATTTGAAATTAATACGGTAAGATGGCTTACTGTATTGACTCAGTATTGTTTGGAAAAAAAATCCAAATCAAGAAACGGAATGCCCCAGACCTTTTGATTGGAAAGAAAGTCGGACTCCACAATATAGCTTTTCCTTGCATGGTATCCAAATCCCATGCCGACACTTCTTGATATCCTAAACTCCATGCAGTCCTCCTCGTGGAAAACACCCGCTCAACTGTAACTCTGTAATTCCCCAAGAACACAGAGAAGCTAAACGATCCATTACTATCAGTCTTTCCCGTGAGCGTGCTAGTGTGCCATTCTTCGAGGAACTTATCGACGACGTCGCCTGCGAGCGTGTTGTTGAAGTTCTTGTCAGTGAAGCACATCTGCCAGCAGGCGCCTTGGCGGTTTATAGCGGCCTAGATGACGATGCCGCCGATGCCGGGATGGGCGAACCCCTTCCCACAAGACTTTCTCCAGATACCACGCATGTTTCTCCAGCCCGTACTTGATGCTCACGTCGACTTCCGTGAGCCAAACGGGGACGCCGACGGTGGCGAATTTGTCCATCACCGCCCGACTGAAAACCGGGTTTACTCCAAATATCTATATACACGAGATCTAACACATTATTGCTAGAATATGATACCCTATCTAAAGGAAACTGAGACGACTTCCCAAGCTGACAGGAAGAACATACCCAATTTATTTAACTCGACCAGGCAATCTCTTAAGACACGCTGTAGAGTCCAACCGTGAGGGTGACCCAACCGTTAATGACAAACTACGGTGGACACAAGGGCGGTGACAAACGCAGAATGTGACCTCGGAACAGACAGAGCATAGAGCCCCCCCTAAGCTAGGTCCTTTAAGGAGCACAGCCTTGTTTTTGCAATCCTTCACAACAAAGAATGACGGGTGAAATTCAAAGTAACAATTATTATCATTAGCAAAACGGTTTACAGATAATAACAACACAGACAACTCGGGAACATGTAAAATATTAGATAAACGCAGAGACTTTGAAGCTGACGAAATTAAAGCATGACCTATACCATAAATTCCCAAACATATTAACATAAGTTCTCTACTTGGTTTATACTATAATTTAAGTAACTTCTCACTCTGCTGGTAACAGGTGGTGAAACATCTTTTGGCAGAACCATATATAAAATCGGCTGACAAGCTGCCTTTAGCTAACGAGGTGTTTGCTAGTCTTGCAAGGTTAGTAATGATATGGTTTATCAACGTCTTAATAGTTAGTTCATGGTTGTAGTCAATGTAATTGGTACTGTTTCCTAATTTGCAAATTTGCAGGCATTGTACTAGTATGCATGCTATGGAGCAACCGAGGCCCGAACTAAAAAGCGCTTTCGTTGCTTCATTTATAGCCGAACAAAACCGCAAAGTCAAAAGAATTGGGGAACCGGTAAAACTATTCTCCATCATTTTAAGGAGGAAAGAGCTGATAAGAAACGAGGACACTTCCACTATGTTAAAAAGGACCAAACTAATGAATGACAATAAAAAAATTAGGGCTGATAATACAGAAGGAGGAGTAAGAACATGAAGATAAAACAGGTCGAATCTCTACGTCACCCGATAAGCGACTATGGTCCACGTGTTGCTTGGAACCCACCGCACACGTGAGGTTTCATCTGGTATCAGGGCAGGTCTCATCTGGTATCAGAGCCAGGCCAAAGGTTATGAGTAAGCGACTAAGGTCCACGTGTTGCTTGGAACCCACCGCACACGTGAAGGGGCGTGTTGAACAAATGTGCAATCCAACTATTAGCTTAAGCTTTTAGTTTAGATGGAGCACATGCTTTAATTTGGTATCAGAGCAGCCTTAAGCTGGTAGTTGGATTGCACATTAATAGTTATTGCACATTGATAGTGTATTCCGTTCCATTTTTTTCTTTCTGAAATTTATTCTTTTTTTTTTTTCATTTTTCTTTTCTGAAATTTCATTTTTTTTTTTGCAGCTGGAACACCATACGAAAATGACACATCCCGAATAAAATTGATATTATCTGAGAATTTTCCAGATTCACCGCCTGAAGGTTCTCTCGAAGTTAAATTATACGGAGTAATAATTTTCTAGTTTCATTATTTAATTATTTTGACATATTATCATGTTGCATTGTTTTCTTAGGTTTTTTAATGACCCACATTTTGCATCCAGACATCACAAACAATGGTATTATTGTTAAAAATGCTCTTCAAAATGATTGGACTCCAAACCTTGGACAAAGGCACATATTAACATAAGTTCTCTACTTGTTTATACTATAATTTAAGTAACTTCTCACTCTGCTGGTAACAGGTGGTGAAACATCTTTTGGCAGAACCATATATAAAATCGGCTGACAAGCTGCCTTTAGCTAACGAGGTGTTTGCTAGTCTTGCAAGGTTAGTAATGATATGGTTTATCAACGTCTTAATAGTTAGTTCATGGTTGTAGTCAATGTAATTGGTACTGTTTCCTAATTTGCAAATTTGCAGGCATTGTACTAGTATGCATGCTATGGAGCAACCGAGGCCCGAACTAAAAAGCGCTTTCGTTGCTTCATTTATAGCCGAACAAAACCGCAAAGTCAAAATAATTGGGGAACCGGAAAAACTATTCTCCATCATTTTAAAAAGGAAAGAGCTGATAAGAAACGAGGACACTTCCACTATGTTAGAAAGGACCAAACTAATGAATGATAATAAAAAAAATTAGGGCTGATAATACAGAAGGATGAGTAAGAACATAAGATAAAACAAGTTGAAACTATTGAGTCAACACTATGCATATGATTAGTGAAGTGTAGGGCTGATAATACAGAAGGAGGAGCAAGAATATGAAGATCAAACAGGTTTGGAACTATTGAGTCAACACTATGCATCTGATTAGTGAAGTATAATACATACATTGTACTTACTAATTTTTTTTTCAGCTTAGACATTGATTAGTAAATTGTAATAGATACATTGGTACATGCTTTAAAGGTGACTCCTACAGTTAGAGTCTGCTCAGGTATTTGGTGTCCAAGCAACTAATATGATGGCTAATGTTAAGTCGGTTCGACATGGCACATTTTAATTGATGGAAAGAAGTCGTTAATTAACTTGTTCAACAAATCCTGTTAAGTGCATTAATCCTAACTTTAGGCTACTCTAACTTGTCAGTCATAAATTTATTTTGATTGATCATTCCACCGTATCAATTGATTAAGTCTTGATATATTGTGTCCTTAAAGTTTAGAGATATTTAGATTATATAGAAATATAGAAATAGAGATATTAGTGATAAATTATAATTATGATAATATTGTATAGGTCTTACTTAAAGGTGAATGAATATTATATTAAGCACACTGTGCTCAGATGATATATATAGTGATATTTTTTATATAAGAGGTCAAATCATAAAATACGGAGTAGTATTTTAGTTTCTCAACGGCTGATACCTGTCCGATTGGGTCCATATTTTTTTATTAGACTCGTGATTCACACTGAGGAATCGTGTTTATAACACATGCCCACGTAGTCACGAAATCTTAGGATCTATTCTTAGACTCGACGACTCGAAGTCTCGTATTCACACTATAAAACCCCGCTTTCATCTCTCATAGTCTCATTCCTCACTCCACAGTTCAAACTCCGTTAACCGCTCACCGTTGAAAGCTCAGATGGCGTCGCCCCATCACGGAACCGGAAACGTCCACCACGTGTCCCACGAATCCCACACAGCTTCTCACCACCATGGGAGCAGCAATAAGCCTACTTATAAGGTTTATTGCCGCGCCGAGACTAACCACTGCCTCTCCATTCGCAACGGCGAGGTCATTCTCGCCCGTGCTAATCCCTCCGATCAACATCAAGTACGCTCTTTTGACTCTTTTCCCCATTTCTAGGTTAACTTCACAAATTTAATTTTGAAGTAAAACTAAATATATACTAAGCGATAGATATGAAAGAAGTTTCATTCCTTGACGTATTGAAATCGAAAATCAAAATTCAGGAAAAAATGATCGATCGGTTAGCTTTGATCGATTGAAATTCTAAATAAATTTGTAATTTGGGAATTTTCAGCACTGGTACAAAGAAGAGGAATTCAGCACAAGAGTTAAGGATGCTGAGGGGTTACCCAGCTTTGCTCTGGTGAATAAAGCTACAGGGCAAGCCATCAAGCATGCAACTGGAAACACCCACCCGGTATGCTTAGTTTTCTTTATGAATTATAATTGTTCTGCTAGCTGTGTCTTTCTTAATCTTAGTATGCTACATAGAAATAATGTTTCTGAATCTATCTGCCAGTAACAAAGTTATGTGCCTTTAGTTGGGTTAAAATTTGAGGGACTATATCACTATACCTCAGGGTAGTGAAGGAATAAGTATGGTTTCTGCCAAATGCCAATTGATTGATTGTTACTTATGAGAAAAATGTGATATTTTTGATGAAAAATTATAATAATACTTTTAAATCAAACTATAATATTAGAGGTATGAGCTTGGTCACTTGATGATGGGCTGGCATATATTCCATCAGATCGAAGATAAAAACCTAAAACACAGCTAATGGGGATTGGGGAGCAATATAGGCGAAGTAACATTAGTGAAAATTGTTTTCAGGTTAGGCTGACTGAGTACAAGGCTAATCATCTTGATGAATCCATCTTATGGACTGAGAGCAAGGACACGGGTGAGAACTATAAAGCGCTAAGGATGGCGAACAACATTAGCCTGAACTTTGATGCCTTCCATGGTGACAAAGATCACGGTGGTGTCCATGATGGGACTACCGTTGTTAACTGGGAGTGGACAAAGGGCGACAACCAGCGCTGGAAGATTGTGCCCTATTGTAAGTCTTTCATCTCCGGCCTCCTTGAATGGAAGAAGAATTTGGTTCCTTTACTATTCTCCTCTCCCCCATTACTAATATAATGCTTCTATTTTAACCATTTATATATGCTGTGATGCAGGATCTGGGCTAGTGAGGGAGGAGGTGATGCTTTCAGGTTTTGTGTTTTGTGCTTATCTAATTGTATGCTTTGTGTGTGTGAAATATGACGGTGTTATGGCTAAGCTTGAGTTGTTAGCGCTATAGCCTGTGTAGTTTGAGCTCATGTCACCGTATATGTATATCACTGTAATAAATGGAGACAGTATTCCATCCTGTATTTTTGTAATGTGTGTATGTAAAACCCTAAAAGGAGGCCACCTCTGATCTTCTGTTGTTATGTACGTCATGCATGAATAAAGAATAATATGTTCTTCAGTTCTTGTTTCCGTCATGCTTACCTATTAGTCAAATTTTTTTTCGAATACTATTAACTCTACCACAATGTAGTATCTGTTCATAATTACTTTCTCAGCCAAATGAAAAGCACAAAGAGTCGATACTGCCCCTTCACTGGGGCTCGAATCTATAATCTCTCCTATAAGGGAACAACTTAGTGTTATTGGACCATAATGTAATAATAAACAATATATTATTTTTGAATATTTCTTTAAAAGCCCACGGTCTGCTCAGGCTAACTCGTGAGGCCCGCATTTTCATGGGCCAAAATTTTAACACCTTAATCCACTCACTATTGGGTGGTTTAAAATTGATCAGCAGGCTTTGGCCACTTTGATACCCCTAGCCTAACAATTGCTGCATGTTGTCATGGGTTTCTTGAATTCTTTCTATATGTCTGCATGACTATTTAAACATTTTTTTTTCATATATCAAAAGCCCAACAAAACAGCCAAGCCCAGCCCGCAGTCAGTAACATCCAAAACATATTTATTACCAAAGATTGTGTACTCCGAGGTAACAACGTGGTCTCTCCCGTTGCCATTCACGTGCACCCTCGACTACCATAAAAATTCAAAAACAAAAAAATCCAATTTTATCCATTTTATGATTTTATCTTTCCCATTTATCAACATCCGGATAAATGGATATATTCGGCTACCTAAACATCGCTTTCACACGACGTGGCATTGATTCAGTGATTTCCATTTCTCAACAAACTGTCGGGTAGAACCGTTAGATATTGCTCTTCATCCAGCTGTGTGGTATCTATCATTTTATAAAAATGTAATACGGATTTTATTTTTTTGAGGCATGAATATTTTATATAATTAAATATTTAATGGCAAACATTATTCACATTATATTTTTTAAAATAAATAAATTCTTTAAATTATTCACTTATTTTAAGAGCCTATCATACTTTCAATCTCAAAGTCCCAAAAAAGTGTTAAGACTTCTCCTTCATTTGTAAGGACTTGACTATGGCATTTGAATCCAATTTTATCTCCTATAGTCTATAACAATTATTGAATGTAAACGTAAATTCAAAGAAAAATGGTCAAAAGCTGATTAAGAGCAACATTATCAATTGGAGATATTATAAGCAAAATGTAAAAGTAATTAGGAAATAGAAGGTGTGAGGGGAGAGAAAAAATAAATAAAAAAATTGAATTAAAAAAAAAAAAAAAGTAAACAGGGAAGTCTGGCGCGCCACAGGGTTCTTTTTCTTTAAATTCTGACATTATTTTGTATTTTGCAAGAGAACTATTTACTGAAATAACCCCACCCAAAATATTTAATCTGACATTAACTCTAACTCCATATATTCTTCTCTAGTAGAGATACTGTATTTATTGTCCCCAAACTTCATTCATGTGACCAATTGAATTTTTTATGCTGACAATGTAATTTTATTCATTAAGTTATTATAGATTTGGTGTTGACTAAAATTACACATGCGTTATTATTTTGATGCAGAGATTACTTAGTATTGGTAGTGACTTAGCGTAATTTAAAAAAAAATTAAATTTTAAAAAATAAATAAAAAGGCATTACAAATTACACGAAAATAATTTTAAAATATTAAATGATCAATTGCACTATTGATCCATTAGAAAACTTATTTGGCCTTTTTTGAGTTTTTTCTAAATTCAAACATGTCGGATCATAAAAATTTGATAAAAAAAAAAAAAAGTATTTAAAGTTATAAGGACAGCGCGGCTTCTAGAAAACTTTTTGCCTTTTTTTTTTTAATTAAAAAAAAAAAACAAAAATACGAAATTGCAGTTGTCTTTTGACGAATTGTTTTCCCTATTCATCTATCTAAAAAGGGAGAAAAAATAGAAAAGGAAAGACGAACCTGAAGCCATCCCCTCTTTCTCTCTCTAATCTCTATCTATCTGTTCAATTTTCGGATTTTCTGACCGGTTTTTCGGAATCCAGATAAGCTAGGAAGAAGTCTATCAATGGCTGACGTGCTGAGCAAGACCGCCGGCGTTGTCTTTTCGCCGTCGAGTGTTGATTGCAAATCGGCGATTCATCATCATCATACACAGCACAGGGTTTGTGCTTTTCCAAATAGATCCGAGAATTTCTTCTCTGCTCTGAATCTTCGGTGTACTAATCGCAACCTGCCGAGCACCGATTTTTGTGGCGGTGGAGTTTCCCTCAGGCGTGAACGAGACACAACCGGCGTCGGAAGCCGCCAAGCAATACCTTCTAGTGCGCCGGTATACATAATTTGGATATAAATGCTTCGATTTTACTGGTTATTATATTTCAGTTGCAAAGTACTCTTAATTTGTATTTTTCTGACTTTTGAATTAAGTTACTTCAATTCGATGGTAAAATACTAAAAATCCGTGTTTTTTTTTTTTTTTTTTTTTTTTTTTTTTTTTTTTTTTGTAATTATTTGTGGTAAACGAGGGTTTTTGGGCAGGAAATAATTACGTTTGGTGTCGATTATCATATACAGTTGATTATGGAAATTTGTATTGTTAATAACTTGATTGAGATGACCTAGCAGCAGATTAGACTATTAGAGTACCTTTATGATTCATGATGTTTATATGCAGATGAGTATTGGACTGAGGAAAGCTCCAAAATGGTGGGAGAAGGGGCTTCAACCCAACATGAAGGAGGTGACTGGCGCTCAAGATCTTGTGGACTCCCTTTTGAACGCTGGTGATAAATTAGTGGTGGTTGATTTCTTCTCTCCTGGTTGTGGTGGCTGCAAAGCCCTCCATCCCAAGGTACTGGATGATGTTTTTTACAGTTTGATTTGATCCAGAAATGTGTGACAAGCTGATGTGTTTTACACTCTGACTGTCTTTATCTGCAGATATGCCAATTGGCAGAAATGAACCCAGATGTACAGTTTCTGCAGGTCAACTATGAGGAGCACAAATCCATGTGTTATAGTCTTAATGTACATGTTCTTCCCTTTTTCCGATTTTACAAAGGAGCTGAAGGTCGTGTTTGTAGCTTCAGCTGCACCAATGCCACGGTTAGTTTCTTTTGTTGTCTCGTTTTATACTGTCTTAGAAATCTATGAGATACATTGGGTGGTGAAGTCACAATCTATAGATCCCTTTGAATTGATGTCTGAAAATTAGCTGTGTGTGTTAGATATCTGATCAGTTTATGATGTTTCTGGCCATTAGTTGGCGTGTTTATGTTGGGAGATACTTCTTTTGTCAAGGTTCTTATCACTATTTGCAAATTTTGTAACAATGGTGATGATTCAATGAAACAGATCAAGAAATTCAAAGACGCGCTGGCCAAGTATGGCACAGATCGTTGCAGCCTGGGGCCTCCAAAAGGCCTCGAGGAGAAAGAACTACTTGCACTCGCAAGCAACAGGGATCTCTCCTTCGAATACACACCTAAAGGAGAACCCTTGCTTGCTCCCTCACGAGAAGAGATCACTATAGGGAAATCATCATCTAACCCTAACTCAGAATACCAGCTCCCGCTGCCCCTTCCTATTCCGCTAGCTACATCACAAAAGGTCAATCAAGACTCCGGGGACAAAGCCATGGTTTCCCCTTCCCCCCGTTAAACGACAAGAAGAGGAAGACACTACAGCGTGACTTGGCCATGTACAGTCCTTGTTTTCCTGTGTAAATTACATATTGTAGTTTGGTGTTCCCCTTGTGGTGTGTATATGTTGTAGCCTTGTAGGAGATATGCTGCTGGGTGTTTTGATATCCCAATATGAGGGCAAGAATGCGGTTTCTACCCCCTCCTGGCTTTCTCCATTTTGAACGGAGATTTGCCCATATGTGAGATGCTATTTGTAGTTTCTATGTATTCCTCCCTTATGCGGAGTATGTTATATCATAGGGTATACATAGCTTGTATGAACTATTGAGTAATACTCAAATTATATTCAGTCTTCACTTTTAGCTGGAATTTGTGATTGAGCCCAAGACATACTGAAACCAGATTCAATTTAGGTTATGTTTTGATTCATAAAGTTTTTGATTTTATTACTTTTATGAGATTAAAACAAATTACATTTGCAGATTTTACTATTGATCTAGATAATTTTTGATTTAGTGAAAGACATGTTTTACTTGAATGTGCACATTAGGTGGAATTTGTTTTGTGATCATAGCTGATAAAGAATTACAGTTAGATAATTAACATAATTGATAAAAAATCACAAGAAAAACAAATTATATATGAAAATATGATGAGTTACCTAGATATATGTATTAGGTGAAATCTGCTTTGTAATTATAACTGACAAAATTACAAAATAAATTAGGTAAATTTAAAATTTTATATTACTAAATTAATTGTCCGATCAGTTTGATAAGAATTACCTTTTATATAGATCTACTAGATGAGATGGAACTGACTTTACCCACTTGATAGCATTGCTTCTTATCCGCAATGCAAATGCCCATAAATTTACGTTAGGTTACAATACAAAGTGAGTGGAAGAAGCCTGATTTTGAGGGAGTTTCGTGAAGACAGAGCCTGGTTTAACGGGTAACGTATTATGGCGGTCCGCCTTATATGGTGCTAATGTCTTTTTCGAAAGGTCAGTCATACATTAGTTTGAGTGTTTAATACGGAGAAATCTCGTTAATGGCCGCCCATCTGTCCTTAACGTGTGCAGTCCGGAATAAAAGCAGCCTATGCGCTGGAATGTGAGTAGGGAATAGGGATGGCAACGTGAGGAGAATACTGTTTTCTGTTGGAAAAAATAACATAAATTGGCATAAAATGACATTTTGAGTAGTTATTTTGTGGTATAATTATTATTGGGGTACACTTTCGATATGAGTTGGATCAAAGTGGATTCGGGTTCTTCGTAGTGAGACGAAGAGATTGATATATTGTACGCTCAAAACGGATAATGTGTGAATGAGATATTGATTCTCAAAATATACCCATTTGAGTTGGAAAAATGAAGGGTAAAAGTGAAGCTTTTGTCCCATATTGGTTTTGCAAGTGGATTTACCCTACTATTTATACTAGAGCTCTTTTAAAATTTAATGAATTATATAACATAAATGATTTTTCTCGCATGTAAATGGTTGTTGGGTAGCAACTCGTACTAACCACTAACCAAATTATCTACATTTTACTTTCCAAGTATTAACCTATATTTTTAGGTTTTTCACCTCATTACCCAACATTTTCATTCCGCTCTCGAATTTATCCCTCATTCGCCCATCTGCTCCGTTCCTCGATGGAGATTTCCTGCACCATTTTTTTATTTTTTACTTTATACACTTCTTAAATTTTAGTACATTATAAAATAATATTTTATTTAAATTATATAATTAATTTATAACTTTAAATATACAATTAGCATAACATCCAATCATCTTAAAATACAACTTGTACAAATGTTCAGACAACGAGAAGTCTTGAGCAGACCCTAATTGTAGGAGGCACTTTTAAGCGGCAAATTATGCTGTGGAACCGTGTCCACCTTGCAATGTGGACACGGTTCCAAAACTGTTCATAATTGTGATATAGAGTTCAAAAATTATGAATCTATAATTATAAATATGAAGTTCAAATATTATGAACATATCGTTCAGTAATTATGAATATAAAGTTAAAAAATTATAGTCCAATTAAAGGGCTGCTGGCTAGATTGATTTTTCCATACGAGAGGGGGTTCAAACTTCTAACCTCTTTTAATTAAGGGGTAAGAGTGCACAACCACTCACGCCAACCAAGCTAGTTAAAATATTTAAAAGATTCAAATTATTCAAATCTTAATCCCTAACAAAAGTACCAAATATCCATACATAATGACTTTAAAAATAAAAAAGAACAAAAACCCATGCACATTAAGCACAAAACTCACGCACTTTAAGTATTAACTCACAGACCTTAAGTTTCAACAACTACTGACATTAATCGCTAACATCACACACATTAAGCACAAACCCTACGCACATTGAGCACAAACTCCACTCACATTAAGAACAAATCTCACGTAACTTAAATACAAAAGCCCACACTTTAAGTTTTAACAACTACTCACATTAAGCACAAAATTCACGCACCTTACGCACAAGACTCACGCATCTTATATACAAAACTCACGCACATTAATCACAGAACCGCTCACCTTAATTTTGACCTAAATGCAAAATTTACAAAATTACCACCGCATTTTTTAAAAAATTTTAATAATCCTAGACATTGATTTAAGCGAGATGAATGGCCCAGATTAAATCGCACAACCGCACCAAAACTTATATATATATATATATATATATATATATATATATATATATATATATATATATATATATATATATATATATATATATATATATATATAGGGAAGGGTTCAGGTGCGGGTATAGCTTCCCGTGCGGTTGTGCGGTTAGATTTGAGCTGTTGATCAAATTTAGATCAACGGCTCAAATCAATAAAAATTTAAAAAAAAAAAAAAAACGCGTGTCGGGAAGAAGATAGCGCCTACACAGCGTCTACACAAATGATAGCGTATGCACAACCTCACGCACATTAAGTACAAACCTCACACACATTAAGCATAGCCTCACGCACATTAAGCACAAACCCCACGCACTTTAAATATTAACTCACATATTTTAAGTTTCAACAACTATTGACATTAAGCACAACCTCACTCGCATTAAGTACAAACCCCACACACATTAAGCACAACCTCACGCACATTAAGCACAAACCTCACGCACATTAATCACAGATCCGTTCACCTTAATTTTGACCTACATGCAAAAATTACAAAATTGCCACCGTATTTTTTTTTTTTTAAATTTTGACAATTCTGAACGTTAATTTAAGCGAGATGAATGGTCCAGATTAAACCGCACAACCGCACCTAGACACTCTAACCGCACCAGAACCTATATATATATATATATATATATATATATATATATATATATATATATATATATATATATATATATATATATATATATATATATATCGGGAATTCAAGGTCGGTGTTGGGGTTGGGTTCGGGGCGGGGAACAACCATGTCCCCGTCCTCAATTTTGGACTTGGCCAAGGGCTAAGATTTTTATCAATCCAATGTCTAGGCCCATAAATCCTCAATTTCTCCCCAAACAAACATAGAGTAACGTTAGTGGTGAAATTTCAAGTTGTTTTTTTTTTTTTTTTGGTTAGGCTTGTGTGAGTTGTATAATGGAGAGAAAAAAAAAAAAAGTAAATAACAAATTTCAAGCTGGCCACTGGCCACTCGATGGCAGCCACCTTGACGCACTGAACAGGCTTGTTTTGTGCGTTAGACACAAAGCTTATTTTGTTTTTTTTTTTTTATTTTTATTTTTTATATTAAAAACGAACTTGTAATACAGTAAAAATGGACTTACAATATATTAAACATAAACATATATATTAAAGACGATTATCTTAGGGCATCCTTAATAGTAATGGTTTTTAAGGTGCCAATTAGGATAGAGAGGATGGAGAGAAAAAGGAATTTAAAAAAAAAAATTTGACGCATTGTAGAAAAAAAAAAAAAAAAAAAAAAAAAACCTCTTAACATCTTAGCCGGCGCGTGCACGGCAAGCGCTCGATTGGACAGTGTCTGTGCGCGAAATGTGCAAAAACTGAGTCTCTGATCTCTTCTTCATTTTCTCTCTCATGCGAGTCTTACAAAAAATCACCCCTTGTAAGACATCTCCAAATTTTCTCTCTTCGTAATATCGTTAATATTTACCTCAAAAACTGAACAAAATCCACTAATGTGAAATATGATTCAGGATTCCAAAGCATAATAATGATTGATTATATGTGTGAAGTGGGAACTAGTAATTGTCATCCACCTACCTAATTATTGTGATCCATTAACTGGTGCATGATCTTTAATTGGGCACAGCTCCATGCAACCACATATGATCAATCATAGGTACATGCATGCATGTTTAATGTTTTCAGGTTAAAATCAAATCCACCGCCAAATTGCCCAATGTATATATGTGGTTTGCATGGGGGCATCACTACTAATTAAATGCAGAACCACCCAAAAACGGAAAAGTGTAGTTATAGCAAGCTGAGGGTTGTCTTCACTCTTCACTCCTTATCTTCATAATCAATATTTATTATTAAATGTTTTGCTTACACAAAAAAAAAAAAATATATATATATATATATATATATATATATATATATATATATATATATATATATATTCATACTTCTTTGTGTTCCCGTTGAGATGGATTCAATGTTTACGAGTAAATATTCTAATCTTGTAATGTATAGTAGAGTATACTCAACATGATTGTAATTAGAGTGATATATATATATATATATATAAAATAATTTAATGTCTCAAAAATATGTACTTTAATCGACTGAATTTATGATTGTTGATACATTTAACAACATTAGTGTTTGATGCACTTAGCATGACGAAAATTATATGTTAAAGTTGTAACACTCTCATTTAGTGTTTCAAGAGCGGATGTTTTGGCAAAAAAATTTCTTGCGGACACTTTGAATATATAATCGTTGGTGTTAGGCTGAAATTACTCTAAAATGGGTCTCACTTTCATATCATAATTTTGCAAATTCTTTACTATTTATTTTACATCCCTGCAAATCTCTATTGCTTTTAAAAATTGATCTCACTTTCATATTATATTATAAATATAATAATAAAAATAGAAAAGAAATCAAAAGTTGTGCAGTGGCCATCCTTTTCAATAGTTTTACATGCTTTTTCTCATTTGCAAATTCTCTCTCCTATTGCTAATTTAGCAAACTCTATCTCCATTGTGAATACACATAAGCATAAAATAAATAAAAAATGATTTTCTCTCTCTTGTCATGTCACAATGCTAATGTGAGATTTGCAGGGATGTGTTCAGCCTTAGGGGAGATTTTAGTAAATATTTTAATTTTGGTGCACTTGACATGACGAAATATACACACTGTAACGCTCTCAAGACGAAATATACATACTGTAACGCTCTCATTCAATGTTTTAAGAGCGAGCGTTTCAACAAAATTTCTGCATCGACTTTGAATAACCATTGGTGGTTGGGGATGTTTAGTCAATTTTGTAATTTGATTGTAGTTGACATGAAGAAACATACAAGCTATAACTCTCATTCAATGTTTCAAGATCGGGCCTTTTCGCAGGATTTTTGCTTGTCAACACTTTGAAGTTTGAACATTAGGGAACTTTTAGTAAATATTACTATAATTTTAATTTTAATGCACTTGACATGATAGTTGTAATACTCTCATTCAATGTTTTAAAAGTGGGCGTTTCAGCAGAATTTCTGCATGCTAAACTTTAAATAACTATTGGTGTTTGAAATTTTTTAATAAATATTTTAATGTTGTAACACTTTATCGACACAAGGTACAAGCGATAATATAATGCTCTCATTCAATGTCACAAGAGCGCGCAAGCGCATCAACTTTCAGACGCACTAAATAACCATAGTGTTAGTGGAACTTTATTAAATATTCTAATTTCAATTCACTTGATACAATGAAATTGAGGCATGTGGTACAAGCTTTTACTCTCTCATTATAAATAATAGTACTCCGTAATACATATTGGGTTTACAATATTGTTGTTGGAAAAATATCAAATTGATCCCTTAAATTATTCGGATAGCAATTAAATCTCCTAAGTAAAACGGCTATATTAAGATTTTTTAAATCTGTAAAATTGTTCAATTAAGTTTAAATCAACCTGTAATAGGGCCAGTAACATTCAAAAAAAAAAAAGTTTAAATCAACCTGTATAGCAGGTTAATTCTTCCACGTTTAAATACAAAGTTTTTTATAGAATAAAAATAAAAAAATATTTTAAAAGTGACACGTGTCAAGCTTGAGAAGAATTAATAATCTACTATACAGGTTGATTTGGACTCAATGGAATAATTTTACAGATTTAGGGGATTTGAATAGAGTTTTTTTTAGGAGATCTAATTACACTATCCGAATGACTTAGGGGGCCAATTTGACTATTTTCCCTATTGTTGTTTGTTGACACATCAAACAATTATTAATTATCCGGTCCACACATTCTCATGTCTCACAGTCCCAGGTTGTGAGTAATGACATATGATCGAGTCTTAATGGTCACACTATGGTAGTTACATTAAATGTGATAATCAGGTTCTTTGTTGGCATCACACTGGTCCTTATATTTAATGGACTGTTGAGTTATCGTGATTTACTCCTCCACTATCCTGTTAGGTTAGAGTAGAGCCGTGGGGAGATCTTAGGATAGAGAGAAATATGGATAAGATATATTTGAACAAAAAATGACACACCCAAAGGTCACACCGACACCAAGGAAAGAAGAAACAAAAGAACAATGATATCGATCACTTACTTACAAGTTAGGTACTAGGAAATACAAGAACAACGTTTGAATTGGTCGCACATTTTTTTTCTTTTCCATGGGGGCATGATTGAGGATAGAAGTGAGTGTACTACACTCATATTTTAATGAACAATTTGAGACAGTTGAGACTCTTCATGTTGATGGGTCCTTCACTCCTTTGTGACCAAACGCATCACTTTCCAATATTTATTCTCCCTTCAATTTCTGTGATAACTAATAAGTATACAAATGGCAAATTGGAAAGTGATGAAATTTCAACAACAAAAAAAAAAAGTATACAAATGGCAAATTGGAACTGACCCATTCTCATAAAATTAATGAAAATTTAAAGAAATTTAATGTTTAAAATATTAACAAAATTGAGTTATTTTGTAGTATAAATATTTGTGGGTCCATTTTTAATTTAAGTCGGGCTAATATAGATTCAGTTATACTTTAAATAAGAAAGAAGAATACCAAGACTATGTGGTTTAATGGTACTCTGGTTGAACTTTCATTTGTGAGGTTGTGGGCTATATCTATTTTAGTTGAAAAAATATAAATGAAAATACACATATATGATTTACCTGAAGGGAATTGTGGGTTAGTTGGGGTTGAATCTGTTAAGAAAGGCTAGAATCTCCCAACCACTGCATTGACTCATCAATCCGTTGTCCAATGTTCATCAGTAGATACCTGGCTATTCATTCTTAATTAGTCGATCCAATCTTCTGGAAAAAGATGAGAGTAGAGGAACAAGAAAAGGAAAAGAATGAGAACAAGACAACCGTTTTTGCAGGTAACGATGTTCTTAGTACTTGTCAATCCGTTTGTTTTGGGAAAACGACACTTTTGTTTCCCTCACTCACACTACAAACTGGAACCTGTTTTTTTTCTCACCAACCCCCTTTACAATACACTTATATATATATATATATATATATGCATGGAATGGGACGTTGTCTGTCATATATTCTTTTGTTCATTTAGAGAGAGAGAGAGAGAGAGAAGTGAAGTGAATTGAAATGGGTTTCCTGAGAGCTAAAGGCGTGATTTACAAGGCTGTGGAGGAGGTTGATCTTAGCCATGGCAGCAAGGAATTTTATCTCAGAGCCAATGTTAAAGGTTGTTCTTTTTTTTTCTGGTTTTTTTGTTTTGATGTTTTGATTTTTAGTGTGGGTTATGTGCGTATTAGTGGTTCTTGGGTAGAATTAAGGAGAAATCTGCAGAAAAATGATTGATTGTGGTACATTTCTGGGCAGCACCTCGGATGGCTGGAGTTCTGGTTAAGGTTTTTGTGTGGTTCTTGGAATTCCCAATCTTTGGCCAAATTCTGCTGTTCTTTCTGAAGAGGAACAATCTGATTCACAAGGTTTGTTTTTGGGTGCTGTCTCTCTTTGCTGATTTCTTGTTTGTTCGATCAGACTAAGTTGTTCTTAGAGATAATGGGATTGTTTTGCAGTTGGTTTCATATGCTGAGTTGCAGGAGTCACCCCTCTATGTTCCTCTGCACCCTTATGAAGGTTAGTCTTTTTTTTTTTTTTTTTTTTTTTTTGGTGACGAAACCCGCAGTCACTACCCAAGCGTGTGCACAGGGTAAACCTGCTTTGCGATCCTAGTCAGCAACGAACCACAACTAGGTAAACCAGCTCAGGTTGCCCGACCGGCTCAAACCAAGAAGGCCACTAGGCCGCTCCCATTGGGAGTTGAATTTAGAACATTGTGGTTACCAAGTCAACAGCCTAACCAACGTGAGTGGGGTTGCCCCATGGTTAGTCTCTTTTTTATCGAGTAGGGTGAAGGTTCGGACCCATTGAAAAGATGTGTTTCGTTTCAACTTTTCATGTTTATTAAGTCTGTTTTAATGAATTATTCCTTGTTCTGTGTACACTGAGGGTGGATGAAGAGGAACATGTTTTACTTGGGAAGCATATAACCTTTGACAAATGACAATATTTGGACCTGTTTTTGGTGAAATTAATGAAAATGTGATGACAGAGAACGAGGAGAAAGAAGTGAAGTACATGAAACCCGAACTATCTCCCCCAGAACAAGTTCATCAGGTTGTAGAATGCCTTCAGGCTTCCCCGAACACACTGCATAACACTACAAAACTCGGTTTCCAACGGTGGACTATAATGGACTATTCGAGAGCTTATCAACAAGGAGAAGTGACACCATGCGTGGTGAGACATTCCCATTCATAAACACGAGATGGGGAATCAAAAGCTAGTTTCAATTCCGTGTTGTATCATATCAGACATAATCGTCATTGCAACTTTGCTGTAGGTTGCAGAAAGATTGATAAAAGCGATCAATGAGTCGTCCAGCTCTAAACTGCAAATGTCGTTTTTCATTAACTTTGACGCTGAAGACATATTGAGGCAAGCTGCAGAATCGACTGTTCGTTATGAACGAGGTACATTGAATTATGAGAGCCAAGATTTTTGTTTCATTAACCTTAGTTAAGTGTGCTTCTGTTCCTTAAAATCGTTTCGATAATACGCTTCTCAGGAGAACCAATATCGGTGTTGGATGGAGTTCCAATTGCCATAAAGGATGAAATAGACTGCCTACCTTATCCGACCACAGGTCTTCTCTTTTCGTTTTTGATCAAACTATGTTATGTTCTTGGACTAAACTAGGTATTAGACGAAACGTCTTACCTTAGTACTCGCTAAATTGTGAAAAAAATTGTAGGAGGTACCAAGTGGTTGCATAAAGTACGACAATGTGAGGATGACGCGTGTTGTGTGAAGCGCCTGAGACAATGCGGGGCAGTACTGATTGGGAAGACAAATATGCATGAACTCGGGGCTGGAACCAGCGGGATAAACCCCCACTATGGGTAAATTTATGCTTCCGTTCCCCAAAAACTAAGCCTATATGCATACATTCTTAGATTTCAATTCATCGTGTTCGTCATTGATACCTTAGGGCAACAAGAAATCCGTATAATTCTCAGAGGATTACTGGTGGCTCTTCTAGCGGTTCCGCTGCTGTTGTTTCTGCGGGGTTATGCCCCGCTGCACTTGGTGTCGACGGGGGAGGTGGATAATCTTGGTTTTGCAGAAGATTGTTAAGTTTCTCGTAGTTTTTCTGCCATAACTTAAGAGTTGGCTTACTTTTCTCTTCTGCTTAGGATCTGTACGAATGCCCGCTGCTCTTTGTGGAGTTGTTGGCTTGAAACCATCTTTTGGACGTGTACCACACTCCGGGTATGCTCTAATTTTCGTCCTTAAAGTGATAGTGAAATTGCACGTTTATATTTATATATTATATGCTCGATCCACAATGTGAAAGTAGTTTATTACCACTTCTCCCTTCAGTGTTCTTCCTCTGAACTGGACAGTTGGAATGGTCGGGATTCTATCGGGTACAGTAGAAGATGCACTCATTGTGTCAGTATTCTCGAACTGCATTTCTTCTTTCGTTTTTTATCTCCCGATTTAAAAAAATAAAAATAAAAATTAGATAAACCATTTTTTTGCCTACCAGCTATGCAGCTATCAGTAATCCCTCAGCTACTGATCTATCCCCATCTGCACTGGTAAGATAACATATTTTTTGCTTGTGATTGAATGTTTCGTGTCAGAAACACGATTGTTTTAATGTAGTTTTGATCATTTGCCAGCCAAAGTTATGTTTCCCTCTTTTGAAATCGCCAAACCCGATATCGGATATCAGATTAGCCAAATATGGAGAGGTATGGGATTTGTCATTCGTTTCTCTCTTGCGTATCTGCTAAACAAACTGATGTCTAATGTTAATGTTGTCGGTCTTTCTCAGTGGTTTAATGACAGCACCGATGAGATAAGAGTCTGTTGTTCTCGAGCCTTGGCCAACTTATGTGAACATTTCTGCTGGAAGGTTTACCAACGTTTTCCCTTACTTTTAGTACAGAGTTTCTATAATGGTTGAGGAAGTTGAGATTCCAAAACGAAACCCAAAAAAAAAAAAAAAGAATCTGATTGTTGTACAGTGTTGTGTATGTAACTGTTTGTAACCCGCAACTTCTTCTGAAAAGACCATAGATGTTACTGTGCCCGAGATCGAGGTGATGCGCCTGGCGCATTATGTGACGATGGGATCGGAATGCAGTACTTCAATCGCCCGTCAACTGGAAAAGCTGTATGTAGTTTAGTTTATTTACCATATGCGTGCTATAAAAAATTACGTTTTGTTGAAGAATACACAAGAGACGTTATTATTGATTGTGATTGGAACAGGAAAAAGACCGAACTAGGGTGGGATGCTCGGGTTGCACTTCCGGTTTATGGCTCCTTTAGCAGCCTGGAATACCTGAATGCCCAGAGGATCAGGTAAGTGACATATATAGCTTCAGATACCGGTTTAACTGTTACGGGAGTTGTTGGGGGCGGCTTCGAGAGCCGAGTCCAGTATCCTGTCATCGAAACGTAGTGCTAGCTGCTATGCAAGTATAAGGAAATAAAGTTGCGAGATTCGCTAGTAGCTATAGCTTTTGGCGTAGTAGTAAGCACTTGATCCTGACAATTGATATCAGATCTGGTCACGGGAACCGAGTCCAGTATCCTGTCATCGAAACGTGACGCTTCTTTGTTTAGTAATTAGTACCATAATACTTTTCTGTCTGTTTTGGCTATGTTTGTCTAGAAACCGGCAGTTGCAGTTCCACAGAAGAATATTTTCGGAGGCAGATGTCATTGTCACACCAACCACTGGGTATTTTTTCTTTCATTTCCATTCCAATTGTCGGAAAAGTTTTACGCTTACATCATTACCATATGCATATATCTGTGACTTGTTGCAGAGTAACGGCGTATGAAATAAAGAACGATGCTCTCAAAACCGGGGAGCTAGACTACATAAATGGAGGTAAGAAATCAGATCCGATCCCCGGCTCTGATACCAAATTGAATGATGTGTTATGTCTTAACGAGGCTTACCAATGTGCTGTATGTATTCCAGCTGCACTAGTTCGCTACCAGATTGCGGGGAACTTCTTAGGACTCCCAGCAGTGACTGTCCCCGTAATGCTTTCTACCTGTCAATAGTTCATCTCTTCTGTTTAGCTCGTTTTGGGTATGTTTATGGACTGAGAAATGTTTCGGTATAGGTTGGATATGATCAATCCGGGTTGCCTATAGGCCTTCAGTTCATCGGGAAGCCATGGACCGAGTCGTTGTTAATCCACATTGCCTTTTCAATGCAAGTATGTACTGTCACTTCTCTAAACTCCTTTTTCAGAATGGTCTGTGAAACATGTCTGCAGTGGTGAATAGTGTGGTTTGGTGAATTGGATTTCAGGGACTTTGCAGCTCAGAGTACAAGAAACCAGAGGTTTTCTTTGACATGTTGGCTAAGGATTGAATGTTTTTGTGTTTCTCCAAGTGGAAAGCAAGATTATTGAACTGGGATTTGGTGTTTCACAGCAGCTATGAGAAAATAAGTGTTTCTTTTAGATGATTTAACTCTTGTTTTTAATCTACATCTTTTCTATTATTTTCCATAAAAGGAAAATTATTTAAACGTGTTGTACCTTATCTTGTTTGTATTCTTATCATGTCAACTCGTTAACCAATCATTTATATAAATTGTCATGATTAGTACTCGACCGGATATCACATTTGCGGTAGGAAAATTGAGCAGGTATACTAGTAATCCTAGTATGACTCATTGGCAAGAGTACTAAAGTACTTGAAGAAAACCATGAATTATGGTTTGGTATATTCAAGTGAGTCTTCTATCTTAGAAGTGTATTCGGATGCAAGTTGGATTTTCAACCAAGAAGGTTGTTCTTCTACAAGTGGTTGTGTATTTTTATTAAGTTGTGTAATCTCCTGGGCTTCTAAGAAGCAAACTTGTATCACGGATTTAACAATGGCTTTGGAATTTATTGCACTTTGGATCAACATGTAAAGAAGTCGAGTGGTTAAGGGATTTATTATTAAAAATCCCGGTATGGCCTAGACCGATGACTCCTATATTGGTACATTGTGAGAGTCCTACTACTTGGGCTAAGGTTTATTGCCAAGTGTATAATGGTAAGTCAAGCACATTGGTGTGAGACACAATTATGTGCGGGGACGTATCAAACATGGTACTGTAGCACTTGACTTTGTAAGGTCCCCCAACTTAATTTGGCGGGTCCATTTACTAAATTGATGCCAAGGGACATGGTATATAGGAAATCACAATGGATAGGACTTAAGCCCATTGAGTAAATAATAAATAAAAGAAATCTCAGCTCTTGTCTAAAGAGACATTAGGCCTAGAGTTCAATGTAGACTAGCATTTCATCTATTATTGGCAAACATTGACAATTAATCTATCCCAAGGTAAGTGCTTGGTCCGGCATGAAAAGAGGTTGATTTATTTCTTCATAGATCTTTTGACAAAGTGTTGTATGCAAGAGCATCAATGAAAAGATCTACCTATGTAAACACGACGTCTTACCGCTTCAATTAAGTTTGAGCTTGGCTTGAGAAGTGTAAAGTTTGTCAAGTTTTCAAGGGCTTTAAGTTTGAGCTTGGCTTGAGATGTGTAAAGTGTGTAAGTTTTCAAGGATAATATCGTAACTTATAAACTTGTGTGTGGAGTACCTTCAATTTTTTCAAGTGATTATTCGGTTCAAAGCTTGTATACTATTGTAATTTGAATTATTGTAAAGTGTACAACACCAATTTTTGTCTTGTGGAAATGTCAACAATATTTACTATATAAATGGATGAGGAATGTTGGACATTTATATAATAAATGATTGAATATATGTATTTAGACATGTCTATCGGAAGCATAAATAATATTTTGGTGTTGTGGAGTTAAAAATATTATTTAGAATTAATTATCGTTTTGGTCACTCAACTATGCCGTAATTATCAAATTGGTCATCGACTATCAATTTTGACCAATTAAATCCTCAACTATTGATTTCGTAATCGATTTGGTCATCCGTCAAGCAGACCGATGGCCAATTTGGTAATTACGGTGGACTGAATCGATTACGAAATTAATAGTTGATGGTTTAATTGGTAACCCCCCCCACATTCTATGACAACATGGAGACAAAGGTCTCTATCTCTAGGCTAGAGATGAAGAAGTCTATTCATTTCTATGTTTTTTTTCGGTGTGTTATTCATTTCTATGTTTTTTTTCGGTGTAAATCACACATTGTGGTCCGGGTCAAGAGGCACAGAAGTTGGCCTAAAGAGGATCGTCACTTGTGGAAATCGAACCCAGATTATCCCAAAATTCTCCCCCACAAAGAGAACTCATTTGCTACTTGAGCTACCATGTTGGGTTCTATTCATTTCTATGTTGAATATGGAAAACCTTTCTCCGTTTCCCGTCAGAGACGAAGAGGTCCCTTCATTTCCATATCAGAGATGAAGAGTGGTTATTTGTCTCCGACACCCAGAAGACGAAGGCTAATTGGCTAGGGGATGATGTGTTTTTTTGTTTTAATTATTAAATAAAATTAAACAAATTATTTTAAATTCAATAATTATCACATCAATAATCAACCGATAAACATATTACTTTTGATTTAATTAAATCAATTTGATTGACGTAAATAGTTATACACTCTCTTTCCTTAAATGTTCGAAGTTAAAATATAGTCTAGTATAAAAAATCAATTAATATAACCAAATATTTTGCTCCTTAATTACACCAACCTGGTACAAACAGAAATTAATTTATGATACAATTTTAAAGGTGCCACGCCTCTCTGGCATTTCCATTAACCTTTCCCTCTTCTCCATCCCTCCCTCATCTTGTTCAAACTCTATAGCACAGTCCCCACGCGGCCACGCCCTTCCTCTCTCTCTCTCCGCCTATCGATCGCCGAAAGGTATTCTGTTTCTCTCTACTACATTTCTTCATTCTCTGAAGCCATATCCTATACCTATTATAATCTTATGTCTGTATAGATTTCAGTTCACATTTCAAAAATCTCGTTAAACCCTAGTTGCACTTCGTTCTAAGCTTCTAAAAAAATGGAGTGGAATGCCGAAACTCTACAATTCCTTTCCCAATGCTTCCTCAATACTCTTTCTCCGATGCCCCAGCCTCGCCGCCAAGCCGAGTCGGCCCTGGCTGATGCCTCTGAGAAACCTAATTATGCGCTCGCCGTGCTCCGCCTCGTTGCCGAGCCTTCCGTTGATGAACAGATCCGCCAAGCTGCTTCTGTGAACTTCAAGAACCAGCTCAAGTCGCGGTGGTCGCCGTCTACGCCTTCCGACCCCAATGTTCCTACCCTAACTCCGATTCCGGACTTTGAGAAGGAGCAAATTAAGAGTTTGATTGTTTCCTTGATGATCAATTCGTCTCCCAAAATACAATCTCAGCTCAGTGAAGCCTTGACGGTGATTGGGAAGCATGATTTCCCCAAAGCGTGGCCTGCCTTGTTGCCGGAGCTTGTTTCCAGTCTTGATAAGCTGAGCCAAGCAAATGATTATGTGTCTGTAAATGGCTTGTTAACCACCTTGAATTCCTTGTTTAAGAAGTTCCGATACCAGTTTAAGACCAATGAGTTGCTCCTTGATCTGAAATACTGTCTGGATAATTTTGCAAAGCCATTGTTAGAAGTCTTTAAGCGTACTGCGAGTTTGATTGATCAGGTAGTGGCTTCTGGGTCTGCCTCTGCTGCAACGCTAAAGCCCTATATAGAGTCTCAAAGGCTGTGCTGTAGAATATTCTATTCCTTGAATTTCCAAGAATTACCTGAATTTTTTGAGGACCATATGAACGAGTGGATGGTTGAGTTTAAGAAATATCTGACTATGAAGTACCCTGCTCTTGAGGATAGTAGCAATGAGGGGCTAGCAGTTGTTGATGGTCTACGATCTGCAGTATGTGAAAATATTAGCCTTTATATGGAGAAAGAGGAAGAATTGTTTCAAGTGTACTTAAGTGGGTTCGTGGAGGCTGTGTGGAGTCTTCTTGTAGCCTCATCTGCATCTTCTAGTCGGGAACAGCTGACTGTGACTGCAATCAAGTTCTTAACTATTGTCAGTACAAGTGTACATCATACACTATTTGCAAGAGATGATATTTTAGAACAAATATGTCAGAGCATTGTTATCCCTAATGTGATGCTACGTGATGAAGATGAGGAGTTGTTTGAAATGAACTATGTTGAGTTTATAAGGAGGGATATGGAAGGAAGTGATCTCGACACTAGGAGGAGGATTGCATGTGAACTTCTCAAAGGAATTGCTATGCATTACAAGGATAAGGTGACTGAGAAGGTTTCACTTCAGATTAAGAATTGCTTGGCCATGTTTGCTCAGAATCCTGCAGCAAACTGGAAATTCAAAGATTGTGCCATCTATTTGGTTGTCACCCTTGCCACAAAAAAAGCTGGTGGCACTTCAGTGTCAACTGATCTGGTTGATGTGGAGAGCTTTTTCGGATCTGTTATTGTGCCTGAGCTGCAGAGTCAGGATGTGAATGCTTTTCCAATGTTGAAAGCGGGTGCATTGAAGTTCTTTACCATGTTTAGAAATCAGTTATCAAAACCCATTGCAATAGCACTGCTTCCTGATGTTGTTCGGTTCCTTGGTTCAGACTCTAATGTGGTTCATTCATATGCTGCGAGTTGCATTGAGAAGCTGTTGCTGGTCAAAGATGATGGTGCCAGAGCAAGGTATACAGCTGTAGATATTAGTCCATTTTTGTTAGTGTTGATGACCAACCTTTTTCAAGCCATGGAGAAACCAGAATCTGAGGAGAATCAGTACATAATGAAGTGCATCATGCGAGTGCTTGGAGTTTCTGAAATTTCTCGTGAGGTTGCTTTACCTTGCATAACTGGTCTGGCTAATGTCCTGAACAGAGTCTGCCAAAATCCAAAAAATCCAGTTTTCAACCACTATCTCTTTGAATCAGTGGCTGTTCTTGTCAGGCGGGCTTGTGAAAAGGATCCATCTCTTGTGTCTGGTTTTGAAGGAGGCTTGTTCCCAAGCCTCCAGATGATATTGGAGAGAGATGTGAGTGAATTCTTCCCTTATGCATTCCAGTTACTGGCTCAGCTTGTAGAGCTGAATAGACCGCCACTGCCACAGCACTATATGCAGATATTTGAGATTCTTCTTTTACCTGATTCATGGAAAAAGTCTGGAAATGTTCCAGCACTTGTCCGGTTGCTCCAGGCGTTTCTTCGTAAAGCACCTCATGAGCTTAATCAACAGGGTAGGTTGTCAAATGTTCTTGGGATATTTAACACACTGGTATCATCTCCAAACACAGATGAACAGGGATTTTATGTGATTAATACAGTCATTGAAAATCTTGGGTTTGATGTTATCTCACCCTATATAGGCCATATTTGGGCTGCCCTTTTCAAACGGCTTCAAGAAAGAAGAACAGTGAAGTTTGTCAAGAATCTTGTGATATTTATGTCTCTTTTCTTGGTCAGGCATGGCTCTCAAAATCTTGTGGCTTCAATAAATGCTGTCCAAGTGAATTTATTTAACACAATCGTAGAACAATTTTGGATACCTAACCTCAAGTTGATCACCGGATCCATTGAGCTCAAGTT